CTCCCAAACTGCTGGGATTACAGGCGTGAGCCACCGCGCCCAGCCTGGATTTCCTTCTTAACTGAGGGATCTGTGGGGATCGCTCCCGCGTGAGGCCCCTGGGAAATGGGCCTCACCATACGGTGAGCTTGAGCCTGGACACAGATCCCCAGTTGGGGGAGTCGAGCTGAGGGAAAGCAGGAACCGAGAGAGGAACTATATGTTATTCAAAATAATTAACAGACATTACTTTATGGATATGAGGACTTGCAAGGCATTGTGACCACTTTTGGCTCCTTATGGTTTATTGCTTGATTGTGTTCATTTTGGACCCTTGTTACCTTCATTGTAAAATATTAACTTAAGTATTTACACTTGGTAACTTACTGTAACTTACTGGGTGTAACTGTAACTTACGTACCATAGCTTACAGGGCGTAACTGTAACTTACTTACCTTGACCTATTGGGCGTAACCTACTTACTGGAAGTAACCTACTTACTGGGCATAACCTACTTATTGGACTTAACTTACTTACTGGGCGTAACTTGCTTACTGTAACTTAAGTACGTTGATCTGGCATAAACAACTTTGACTTCAGAAAAGTATATAATGAAACGTATTGCAAAAATAAAATTGCTGCATGAGCATAGCACATGTAGCCATCCAGACCTCGCCTTTTCTATCCCCTTTTTTCCGGCGCACGCTCTCTTCCAAGTCTGGGACCCTCTCGCTGGACGAGATTCCCGGGCTCACGTTCAGTTCACAACACTTAACCATCATTGCAATTCTGTCATTCGTTTTTCCCAAGCACTCCATGGATCCCAATGGCCTCTGTCTGGGGACACTTAGGCCCTGGGTGTGCTGGCTCTGGCTGCTTCTCTGGCTGCACATGCTGGTGGCCTCCTGTGTGCTCTGCTGGCTCTCCCTCAGCTGTGCCGTGGATTTGGGGGCCTCTTTCCTTCTGCATGAACTGAAGCTCCCTTTCTCCAATGGAGAAGTCACCCACCCTTGTAGAGTCACTCAATGTCACCTACTCAGAGAAACCACCTCCCTCAGGGCCTCCAGGCATTTCTGTCCAGGTTCTACGAACACCTGTGTGAGGGGGCCTGGAGTTACACAAGCATATCCCTCTTTCCTCCTGCTCCTCTCAGGACGGAAACCTCATGTTCTTCCCCCATGTCTACCACTCTGCCCTAGACCATGGCTGCTCTAGGCCTCAAAACATGCCCATGGAGGGGGTGGGCCAGGGCCTGCTGCTCCAGGGGCTCAGAGCCAGGAAGGCCCCCACTCCCATTCCTGGCAGGGTGGGGACTGGCTGGTGAGCATTCTCACAGGCTCTGGATGGCTGGTGTCTGGCTGCTCTGGAGAGCCAGCTGAGCTGAGGGAAGGGAAGAGCTCAGAGCCTGGATGCCGGCAGTGAGTGAGGAGGCACAGAAAGTGAGGCTCCAGGCTCTGAGGATTCCATGGGGTCTGGGGAGAAGGGGTGGGAAGCGAGGGAGGCAGTGGCTAGGCCTGGTCATCATCCCAGCCAGGGCCCTGAATGCAGTCTCCCAGTGGCCCCAGAGCTCCCCCACCGCACCCCCCACCACTGCCACCACTGGCTCTGGGGGTCCCTGGCTCAGCCTGCAAGGCCCAGGATGAAGGGAGGGAAGGAGGGAGGGAGGGCACCAGGCAGGGACACTAATCCCAACTTTTTCTCCTGCCTGTGTAAACAGATGACTTAAAGGCTTAGGAACAGAAAAATAAATAGCCCTGCTGGCCACAGCTGGCCTCAGCCACAGGGAGCTCACTTTTCCTTCAGGAAGCAAATCTCTGGTCTCAGAAGCCCTGGGAGACTTGGCAGCAGCTGCCCACCAGCCCGGGAGGAGGGCCTGGCTTGGCCTCCTAGTGTATCCTTTCCCCAAGTTCCAAACACAGGAAAAGGGATGCTCCCCAGAAACCCATTTTCTCTATGCAAAATTCCCCCAGATGCAAATGTAATATGGTTTGAAAGAAGGGCACGCTGGGATTGGCCCCAGAAACCACTGGGGGTCACTGATGGGATGGAGCAGGGCTGTTCAGAGGTGACCTGTTTGGGCTTCTCTGTGAGCCTGCCACTGCCACTGGCTTGTTGGGTGAGCCTGGGCCAGAGACATGACCTCTCTGTGCCTCAGTGGCCTGAAGAAAGGGGACAGTAATGGTACCTGCCCCACAGGACTGTTGTCAGTATTAAATGAGATGATAATACATGCAGAATGCAGAACAGCACCTGGCACGTGGTGAGTGTCAACAAGTGGTAGCTATTATGTCAATGTCACCTGACTGCCACCCTGGGGGTCTGACTCACTTAAAGAGGCCAACCAGGTCAGGGAGTGAAGTCCCCAGGCCACACTCCCACCCCCAACTTTGTGCAATCTACCCTGCCCTCCAGCACAAGCCCCAGTCCTTCACCCAGATGTCTATTCTCTGCTGACAGCCGGCATCAGCTTTGAAAACATCTGCATGGCGCATCTTGGCTCTCTACACAGTCCAGATATTTGGGCAGCGTGAGGACTTGCCTTTCCGGCCTCCCCCAGGAGTAGGGTGGGGGGCTCAGCATGTTGGGGCAAGCATCTGTGATTGCAGGGAGCCCAGCCTTCCCCTTCCCTAAAGCAGGCCTCCCAAGCAGGGGCCCTCTGCATGGGAAGAGGGCTGGAGACGGTCACCCAGCCTCTGTTCCAGAGGACTGCTGGCTGCAGGCTGGCCCTGGCCCGGCTGAGCACTGCAGAACATGGAGCCAGCTGACCTCCTTACTGGTCAGCAGGCCAGAGGGACAATCAGGGCTGGTAGGGGCGGAGAAGGACGTGGGGATCTCTGCAGACCTGAAGCCTGGGGTTGGCAGTGAGGAGTCCTGGGTTCTAGTCCTGGGTGCCCTAGGCAACTGCTGTGTGACCTTGGACAGACCACTCTCCCTCTCTTAGCCTCAGTTCCCGAATTTGAACAGTAAGGGGATTGGACTCGATCAGGTTACAGTGTATCCAGCATCAGAACCCCTGAGGAGTCTATTAGATCCCAGTACCCCACCTCAGTTGCCATCATCACAGAGATTCTGATTTACCAAGTCTGGGGTGGGAACTGAGCCTGAGAATTTTTCACAAAGGCCCCTAAGCCATGCTTCAAGATATGGGAGCCACTGGCCCAGATGATGTCTAAGAACCTGATGGCCTTCTGGTGGCCTCTGTGTGATGTCCCCTGGCCCTGCTTCTCACAGTCACTCTGGGAGGCTGGCGTCAGCCTGCTCTGGCCTTTAGACAAGCCCAGGAGTGAGCCAAGAGCTTCGGACACAGTTAGGTCAGGTGGTGTCATTAGGATGTGTGCATGCAGGGGAGGCACGCGTGATGGAGTCACCCTGGGTGTGTGGCAGCTAAGGGTCGCGCGCTTCCCTGCGTAGGTGGAGAGTGTGAGTGCCTCTGTCTAGGAGTGTGTCTCCTAAAAAGAGACAGGTGCTAAAATGGCCTGGGAAGTCCCTCTTGCCTGCCATGCCTTCCTGGTGAAGGATGGAATCTCATACCCACTGGGGAGCTGCAGAACTGAGCTCTGGATGGGAACACATGGCAGTGAGTGGCTGGGAAGGGGCCCAGGGCTGGGCCAGGAGAGGGACAGAGGGGACAGCCAGGCCCAGCCACTCGGCTCACCCCTCACTAAGATCTCAACAAAGCTGGGGCCTGGTGGGAGGCAGCAGATCCAGGGAGGTGCCCTCCTACAGGACTTCCTGAAGGTCTGGATGGCCTTTTCCTGGGCAGAAGCCCCAGGACCCTTCAATTCTGCCTATTTCCACTCAGCCCAGGCTTGACACCTAAGAGACCCTGTGAACTGGGCAAGAGGGGACGGCCTGGAGCTGAGAACTGGAAGTCCTTCCCTGATGACCCAGTGCCATCATTCTGCCCACTCCCCCCACTGGAGCCTGCCGTACCAGCTCAGGGGGCCGGCTTCCCTGGGCTGCTTGTCTTGGGCCCTGGTCCACCAGAAGAGGAGCTGCCAGGACCGGGTGGGCAGAGTGAAGTGCAATGAGGGCTCAGCTGGCTCCTGCCCCCGGGTGGAGGCCAAGGCAGCCCAGTGGGTCTGTGGTCTTCTCCGCCATGGAAACTCCCACCACAGAGGGGGTGGCCTTTAACCATTTTAGGTGGACCATTTGCTCTTTTTTTCCCCCTAAAATGAGTGTTTTATCCAGATACACACACACAATTCTTTGCTGGGAGGGCCAAGCCCAGGATCTCCTGCTTTTAAGCCCCCATCTCAGCCCCTGGCTGCCTCCTGCTAGGGGTGGTATGAAGCCCCAACCTTCCAAGGCTCTGAGTCAGGAGGCCAGCTCTCCGATCCCTGCACAGCCTTGGCCTTTGGGGGCGGGAGGGGCTGGGCCAAACATGGGCCAGGTTCAGTGGTAGGCAGCTCCCAAGATCCTCCAGGGAGATTAACCCAGTGAGAAAAACAATGGCAATTAGGATCTTACCAAGGTTTACTCTGTGCCCAGCACTCTTGGAAGCACTTTGCATGCAATGACTAATCTGATCTTCACCAGAGCCCTGTGAGGTAGGGACTATTCTTATTCCTATTTCACAGGAAGCGACTAGCCCAAGGTCACACAGGGAGTGAGCAGCAGAGACAGGATGAGAGGCTGCATGCATGTGCTTCACTGCTGACTCAGGTTCCTTCCCAACACCTTTCCATGACTAAGCACTCACATTGCGCCAGGCTCTGTGCTGGGAGCCTCCCATGAGTCTGCTGATTTCACGGAGGTCCTGCGTCTTTAAGAACCAGGACTGCAGGAAGAGGAAGCAGGAAAAGATGAGATGAACAGCTTGGGAAAGAGCCACAGAAAGCTAGGGAGGGAAGCTCAGGGCTTGGCAGCAATGGGTAACCTTTTTCTATATAGGCCAGATACTAAAATGTTAGGCGATCTCTTGGTTGACTACGCAGCTCCGCTATTGAAGCACAAAGCGGCAATGGACAATATGCAAATGAATGAATATGAATGCGTTCCAATAAAACAGTACTTATGGACACTGAAACTATTCATATAATTTTCATATGCCACAGAATATTCTTCTTTGGATTTTTTCCAACATTAAAAAATGTAAAGAGAATTTGTAGCTTGTGGACTGCACATAAACAAGAGGCGGGCTGGATTTGGCCCCTGGGTGGTAACCTGCCCGTTCCTGCATAGGTGCAGCTCTTGAGTGCTCTGCTTTGCGACCAGGCTGGTTCCTACGGTGCTTCAACCAAGATCTAGCTCCCGTCTCGGGACGCCAATCCTCGAGTCCTGGGGGAGAGTCAAACAATGGTTAGTCAGATCTAAGTTGAGAACTCCTTTAGGGGTCTGAGTTTTTGGCACCACCATTTCCTGGCTGATCTTGGGCAGGTTTCTTAACTAGTCAGGATTCCCTTCAAGAATCCTGCAAGAGGCCAGGTGCTATGGCTCACACCTGTAATCCCAGCACGTTGGGAGGCAGAGGTGAGTGGATCACCTGAGGTCAGGAGTTCAGGACCAGATGACCAACACGGTGAACCACATCTCTACCAAAATTACAAAACTTAGCAAGGTGTGGTGGCAGGTGCCTGTAATCCCAGCTACTTGGGAGGCTGAGGAAGGAGAATCGCTTGAACCCGGGAGATGGAGGTTACAGTGAGCCAAGATTGCAGTGAGCTGAGATTGTGCCATGGCACTCCAGCCTGGGCAATAGAGTGAGACTCTGTGTTTAAAAAAAAAAAATCCTGCAAGAGAGAGAACTTTAACTAAATTGCTTAAACTAAGGAGTTCTACAGGCTCCTGTAATTGAAAATTCCAGAAGCATGTCAAGTAACTTCAGGTACAGGTAGATCCAGGTGCTCAGGTGACATTGTTTGGAGTCTATCTCTTCACCTCTTGGTTCCGTGTTTCTAGGTTGGCTTCTTACTCGGTTACAGTTATCCTAAGGGTGGTAGAAGTGGCTACCAGCAGCTGAAGGTTCACGTTCTATCTGCTTAGCAATCCCAATTGAAAGCTAACTCCACGTCACCAAACTCTTGGCAAATTTCCAGAAGATACTCATAGGCTCTGGTTGGTTGGGTTTGAGTTATGAGACTCCTACTGAACCAGGCACCATGTCCAAGGAGAACAGAGTGTCTGATTCGCTCCTGGAGCCAAGGAGTGGGGCAGCCCCCAGTAGCCCAGCGTACATTGCAAGCAGAGGAGTGGCTCCCCAATGGAACATAGAGAAGCTGTAACCAGAGGGAGGGAGAATGGAGGCTGGACAGGTAGAAGCAGCAGCTGCCCACCTTAGACTCTGGACTCTTTTTCTGTAAAGGGGGATAATGACACCACCTCAAAGTCAGTGTGACAATGGGTAGCAAATGCATCATGACAACACTAAGCTACTACTGTGAGGAGGAAGGAAGGCAACTAGGGGCATGTGGCGCTTCATTTGGGGGACATCTGACATTCACAATACAGCCTCTCCTTAAGAGAAAGCCCCACAGAGCTGGCGCTGATGGTTCACAACTGTAGTATCGGGAGGCCAAGGCAGGAAGATTGCTTGAGCCCAGCAGTTCAAGGCTGCAGAGAGCTAGTATCACACCACTGCACTTCAGCCTGGGAGACAGAGCGAGACCTTGTGTCTATAAAAGAAAGAAAGCCAGCCTGGAGCCGTGGCTCACACCTGTAGTCCCAACACTTTGGGAGGCTGAGGCGGGCAGATCACAGGTCAGGAGTTCAAGACCAGCCTGGCCAATATGTTGAAACCTGGTCTCTACTAAAAATACAAAAGTTAGCCAGACATGGTGGCAGGCGCCTGTAGTCTCAGCTACTTGGGAGTCTGAGGCAGGAGAATTGCTTGAACTTGGAGGCAAAGGTTGCAGTGATTGCACCGAGATTGCACCGCTGTACTCCAGCCTGGTGACAGAGCAAGACTCCATCAAAAAAACTGGCAACAGAGCACGACTCTGTTGAAGAAAGAGAGATAGAGAGAGAAAGAGAGGACAGATGGAAGGAAGGAAGGAAGGAAGGAAGGAAGGAAGGAGGGAGGGAGGGAAGGAAGGAAGGAGAGAGGGAGGGAAGGAGGGAAGGAAGGAAGGAAGGAGGGAGGGAGGGAGGGAGGGAGGGAAGAAGGGAGGGAGGGAGGGAGGGAAGGAAGGAGGGAGGGAGGGAGGGAGGGAGGGAGGAAGGAAGGAGGGAGGAAGGGAGGGAAGGAAGGAGGGAGGAAGGGAGGGAAGGAAGGAAGGAGGGAGGAAGGGAGGGAGGAAGGAAGGAGGGAGGAAGGGAGGGAAGGAAGGAGGGAGGAAGGGAGGGAAGGAAGGAAGGAGGGAGGAAGGGAGGGAAGGAAGGAAGGAGGGAGGAAGGGAGGAAGGAAGGAAGGAAGGAAGGGAGGGAGGGAGGAAGGAGGGAGGAAGGAAGGAGGGAGGGAGGGAGGGAGGAAGGAGGGAGGAAGGAAGGAGGGAGGGAGGGAGGGAGGGAGGGAAGGAAGGAAGGAGGAAGGAAGGAAGGAAGGAAGGAAGGAAGGAAGGAAGGAAGGAAGGAAGGAAGGAGGGGTTCGATGGAATGTAAAATTGCACAGCCACTTTGGAAAACAGGATGGAGGTTCCTCAAAAAAAATTAAACATAGAATTACCATATGGTCCAGCCATGCTACTTCTGGATATATAGAAGTAAAAGAATTGAAAACGGGGACTCAAACAGATCTGTGTACACCCATGTTCATAGCAGCATTACTCACAGCAGCCAAAAGGTAGGAGGAACCCAACCACCCATCAAGCATAAACAAATAAACAAAATGTGGTCTATCCATACAATGGAATCCTAGCCGGCCTTAAAAAGGAAGGAAATTGTGACACATGCTAAAACATGGATGAACCTGGAGGACATTATGCTAAGTGAAATAAACCAGCCACAAAAAGAAAAAATACTGCATGATTCCATCTATATGAGGGAACAAGAGCAGCCAAATTCACAGAGATAGAAAGCAGGATCATGGCTACCAGGGTCAGGAGGGGAAGGAGGAATGGGGCGTTAGTGTTTGTGGGTACAGGGTTTCAAGTTTGCAAGTTGGAAACACGCGGGAGACAGATGGGGCGATGGCTGTACAACAATGTGAACGAGCTTAATGCCACTCACTGTATACCTAAAAGCGAGCAAAATGGGAAGTTTTATTTTATATATGTTTTACCACAATTTAATAAATTTTTTAAAAAGAAGATGAGAAAAGAAGACAAGCCTAACTCAGAACTTAACTCTTTTCAGAAGCCAAGGCTGCCCTGAAGCCCTCAAATCATGCCAAGGCAACAGCTGGGTTTTGCTTTCCTTCCCCTCTGCCTTATTTCCCTCCCACACTCTTTCTTTTGGAGGTTGCACCCCACAATAAAGCATTAGCACATAAATTTGACCACAGACTGTGTTTCCAGGGAAACTGGGATAAGGTATGCACCTTTGCAAAACCAGCAAAATACCTAGCAAAAGTAAGTGCTAGAGAATATTTGTTGGATAGATGGATGGATAGATGGAAGGATGGATGGATGGATTAATGGATGGGCTTTGCTAATAGAATGTAGTAAGGAACTCTCTCTTGATTAGAGAGGCAAATGTAGATACCCACATATTCAAGCTCAAAACAGTGATCCACACAGTCAGGAAAACAGTCCCACATATGCTGCCCCATTCTCCCACATAGCAGAAACTCCCACTCAGGCTCCCTGCTGACCTGTGTATAGCTCTGTCTCTTCCAGATCAAGCCTCTTGTGAATGAGCCAAGGCTGTGTTTGTGGAGGTGGAAAAGAGGTTGCTGATGAATGGGAGACAACTCTGCAGTGGATAGAAACCCCCTGAAAAATGATGTCAGAGCGAACACATGCACTTTGTGCACCAAATGCCGCCCTAAGCACTGTGTGGGTAAATTATCTGAGTCCCTGCAACACCTTCATTACAAATGAGGAAACTGAGGCAGAGGTGGAGTTGCCTCCTCAAAGTCACCCAGCTTGTAAGAGGCTGAGACAAGGTTTGAACTCACGGCTGCCTGCTCCAATGGGATGCTCCCGCCCACTATTGTGGACAGTGGAGGCAATTTTGTTGTCAGCCTGGCCTAGTGATTCTGATTATGCCACCATCCCAGCCAGGGCAGCTTTTGAATAAGCTGGGCTTCCCTCTCCTGGGTGGCCTTCACAAATCCCAGTAACATTTGGCTTGACAGAGGAGATGCACCCCAAACATCTACTCAGGAGAGGGACCTGAACAACTCCTTTCTCTCTGCTGGGGTCTGCAGGAAGGGGAAGGAGGGAGGAGCAGATCCAGACTGGATAGAGATTTCTGAGCCCCCTCCTGCAAAGGCTTCTTGGTTCTCTGAATGGAAGGAGACAGGGCAAGGAGCGAGGAAGAGAGGCCAAGAGCACAAGGTGGTTTTGCCCCTTCCCTGCCAGGCCAATGTGAGAAGGCCTGAGAGGACTCTATCCCCAATACACTTGGCTGGCTCCTTCTTGTCATTCAAGTGACAATTCCACTGTCACCTCCCCCAGGAAGCCTTCCTTTATCACAGTCTAAAACAACCCCTTACTCCATCCTGCCCAGGACCATCAGTCATTGTCTACATGGCACTTAACACTCTTGTACATTGTCTTCCTGTTTGCTTGCCTGTTTCTGGTCTGCCTCCTGGAACTATAATGCATGTGCCATGAGAGGAGGGACTCCATGCTCAGCCATGTCCAGCACCTCCTCAGTGTCCAGCACACTGGGAGTGCTTGGGAAATATTTGCGAAATGAATGCCTGGGAACGTCATCAGGCAGTTGCTAAGTCACAGGCAAAAGAAACCAACTGTAAAATAACCTTCCAAATGTAATGAGTGATACAAAGGGGGAAGATCAGATAAGTGGGTTTTGTTTGCTATTTCTAGTTGATGCGGAATTTTTTTTCTGCTTTGCATAAGCTCAGGAGATGGGCACGAGAGACCACCATCTGATCGGGTAGGTCAGAAACAGACTGGATCATGCAGTTGAACAGGTTGTGGCACACATGCAGCTGTCTGGAAGTCGGGCACTCCGCAGAATTGTGCAGTGCACAGCCTGTGCTCTGGGGCAGGCAGCCCTGATAACCGTGCGAAGAGAAAGACAGCAAGAAGGGAAAGAAAGAGATATTTCTGTTTGTAGAATAAAGGATGGGAACAGACCTAAGTAATCATCTACTGTAACTGATCTCCTCATTTTGTTCCGAATTAAAAAAGTTACAGTAAACTGCATGTCATAAAATTGACCAGTTTAACTGCTTTAGGTGTGCAGTTCAGTGGTATTGAATACATTGATAACACTGTGCATTCATCACCCCATCTCCACAGTTCTTTCCATCTTGCAAAACTGAAACTCTATGCCTACTAAACAAAAACTCCCCACCCTCCCTCCTCCAGCCCCAGCTACCACCATTCTACCTTCTGTCACTCTGAATTTGACTAGTTACCACCTGCAAGTGAAATTATACAGGATTTGTCTTTCTGGAGCTGGTTCACTTCATTTGGCATCACGTCCTCCAGGTTCCTTCATGTCGTAGCTTCTGTCAGAATTTCCTTCCTTGTCAAGGCCAAATAATATCCCGCTGTATGGAATCTCCCTCTCATTTTACAAGTGAGGAGAACGAGACCCCTAGATGCAAAACAGCTTCAGAGAACACCAAAGAAACAAAGCCAGCCAGAGCGCCACAAAGTGCAAAACACATCAACATCACCGTGTCTCTGATTAGTTTGTCACCTTACAGTGATGAAGAAGACCTTTCACTCCACGTGTTTCCAGGACCCTGGTCCAAAGTTGTGGTTGAGAACTTCCAATTCTCAAAGGCAGCAACCAGGTCTCTGACTGAGTTAACTACAAAAGGTCAGAGCCAGTACCTGTCTCGTTCACCGCTGTAGCCCCTGCCCAGGCTCACGGGTGGTATGCAGTAGGCACTCAAGCAATGACAGCGAACCTTACCTCAGCGCTTCCTACCTGCCAGGTGCTGCTTTCAGCATGTTACCACTTTACATCTAACATTAACTCACTGAATCCTCTCAGCACCCTTACAAGGCAGGTTTTAGTGACATCCCCATGGGGAAACTGAGGTACAGAGTGGTTAAGTAGCTCACGCACGACACACAGCCAGTAATGAATAAACAAGTCAACAAATGAACCTGTCATGTTGTCATTGAGACCTTCCAAAAAACGCCCCCCCCCACTCAGGACCTCAGAGTCTGTCCCTCCTGTGGCTGAGGAGCTGCCTGGGGCTGTGACAGCAGCACATCCCTCCGAGGGAACAAGCGCTCCTGCTCCTCTCCCTGCAGGAATCAGCAGAGCTCAGAGTTTGGGAGGAGCCTGCAGAGAGTCTGAAGATGAGGCTGGTCTGGAAGGGCCAACACCGGAGCAGCAGGCCTGCAGAGGAAGTGTACTTTGTTTGCTATTCTGGAGGCGCTAAGTGCAAAGGTGGCAGGGCCCTGTATACACTCACACACACACTGTGTCTCAGCTGACAGGAAGAGGAAATGCCTTGCATTTTCCTGCCCCTTGTCCCCAGGCCAAACCTAAATGCCAGCCCTAAAAATACAGCCTGGAAGCAGAGCTATGATAACAGCTCCCTCCTGTCTCTGTCGCCCCCCCTCCCCTGACCCCCTCAGGTTTATTTTTGAATGAGGACGCTGCATAGAAGAAACCTGATGCTGGCGGAACCTGAGTGCTTTTCTTTCATGTCTCCTTCCATTCAGATTTCTGGAGGGGAAGAGAAGGAAAGGAGGGAAGTGAGGCTGCCTTTGTCAAGGAAAAAAGCAAAGGGGAAGAGGTGGACAGCAATACAAACAGTCCCTTTTGGCCTGATTCAGTGACCTGGTTGGCAATGTGCATTTGTCGAGCTAAGCACCATTCCAGGCACGGTGTGGAGAGCTGGAGTCAGATACACCATCCCTGTCCCTAAGGTGCTTTCAGATTCCACTGGGCTTGCACCAAAACACTGGAAAGAAGGGCACAATACCCAGGGCAAACATAGAGGTCCTCCAACCAGTTCTAAAAGCCACCCCTGCCAGGGCAAATAAAAGCCAAGGATTAAATGCTTGAGAACCTCCCTGCTACCCATGATGGGAAATGAGGCAAGGGTGTCCACTTTTGCCATTCCCACTTGTAGCCAGTGTAATAAGGCAAGAAAAAGAAATTTAAAACATCCAGATTGAACAAGGAGAAGTAAACTGTCTTTATTGGCAGATAACATGAATATCTACATAGAAAATCCTGTTTCTACTAAAAATACAAAAAAGAAAAAAAATAGCTGGGCATGGTGGTGGGCACCTGTCATCCCAGCTACTTGGGAGGCTGAAGTGAGAGGCAGAGGTTGCAGTGAGCCAACACCACACCACTGCACTCCAGCCTGAGCAACAAGAATGAAACTTCATCTCAAAAAATAAAAGAAAGAAAGAAAATCCTATAAACTTACCAAAAAGGTACTAGAATTAATAAGTGAGTAGGAAGGTTATAGAATTCAAGATCAATAGACAAAACTCAATTGTGTTCCTAGTATACTAACAACAAAGAATCAGAAATTGAAATTTAAAACACTACCGTAGGCCAGGCTCGATGGCTCATGCCTATAATCCCAGCATTGTGGGAGGCTGAGGCAGGTGGATCACCTGAGGTCAGGAGTTCGAGACCAGCCTGGCCAACATGGTGAAACCCTGTCTCTATTAAAAATACAAAAAATTAGCCAGGAGTTGTGGTGGGTACCTGTAATCCCAGCTACTCGGGAGGCTGGGGCAGGAGAATTGCTCAAACCTGGGAGGCAGAGGTTGCAGTCAGCTGAGACTGCACCATTACACTCCAACCTGGGCAACAAGAATGAAACTCTGTCTCAAAAATAAATAAATAAATAAAATGCCATCATTTACAATAGCATGAAAAAGTATGAAATACTTAGGGATAAATCTGGCAAAAGATGTGTGAGACTTTACACTGAGAACTACAAAGCATTGCCGAGAGAAATTAAAAAGCTAAATAAAGAGAGATATTCTGTGTTCTTGGATTGGAAGACAATATTATAAGGCAACATTTTCACCAAGTTGATATATAGAATCAATAAAATCCCCACTAAAATCCCAGCAGGCTTTTTAGTAGAAACTGACAAATTGATTCTAAATTATATGGAAATACAAAGGATCCAGAACAGCCAAATCAACTGTGAAAAAGAACAATATTGAAAGACTTACTCTATCTGATTGTACGACATTATAAAGCTGTAGTAATCAAGACAATAGGGTACTGGTATGAGGATAGACACAGAGATCAATAGCAGAAATGTAGTCTGAAACTAGGGATAGAGATCATTCTTACAGAGTCACAAGGCAGCCCAGGCACGCAGTCCGATCACCAGGTAACCACCAGCAGACAGGTCCATCTCAGTCAAGGCTATGGCCAAACATCTGCCCACAGAGGAGGCCTGTGTCTGGGAGAAAGTGATAGAGTCTAAACATAGACCCACTTATATGTGGTCAACTGATATTTGGCAGACGTGCCAGGCAATGCGTAAAAGATAATCTTTTCAACAAATGGTGCTGGAGCAACTAGGCGATTAGATACTCACACACACACACACAAAAGAATTTGGATTCATAAAGTATTTGGAATCGTAACTTGCACCATACATAAAAGCTAGCTCAAAAGAACATAAACCTAAATGTAAGAGCTAAATTTACCAAAGTTTTAGACGAAAACATAGGAGAAACCATAGTGACTTGGATTTGGAAAACGTTTTACAAACTATGTAAAATAAATTGGTCTTCAAAAATTTTTTTTTAATTTGCTCTTCAAAAATATTTGCTTATGAAATGGTAAACCACACACCGGGAAACATATTTGCAACACATTTATCCAGCAAGGGCCTTGTATCTAGACTATATAAAGAACTCTTACAACTCAAACAGCCAACAACCCTATTTTTTCTTCCTTTTTTTCTTCTAAGATGGAGTCCGCTCTGCCACCCAGGCTGGAGTGCAATTGTGTGATCTCGGCTCAGACTCACTGCAAACTCCACCTCCCGGATTCAAGCTATTCTCCTGCCTCAACCTCCCTGGTAGCTGGGATTACAGGCACCCGCCATCATGCCCAGCTAATTTTTGTAGAGACAGGGTTTCACCATGTTGGCCAGTCTGGTCTTGAACTCCTGACCTCACCTGATCTGCCTGCCTCGACCTCCCAAAGTGCTGGCATTACAGGAGTGCTCCACTGCATAGGGCAAATGCAGTTTTTGAAATGGGCAAAATATTTGAACTGACATTTCACCAAAGAAGATAGGTGGATAACAAATAAGCACGTGAAAAGATGCTCAATGTCATTAGTCATTGGGAAAATGCAAATGAAACACTCACTAGAGTGGCTAAAAATAGCTTAAAGAGACTAACTAGTGAGTGTTGGCCAGCACATGGAGCAACTGGAACTCACACATGCTGCTGCGGAGAATGTGAGATGACACAACCATTACAGAAAACAGGTTAACCACTTCTTTCCACCCAAGAGAAATGAACGTATTTGCCCATGTATGCATGAATGTTCATAGCAGCTTTCTTTGTAACCGCCAAAAACTGGGAACAACGTAACCGTCCATCAGCGGATGAATGGAAATACAAATTGTGGCCCTTCCACACAATGGAACGCCATGAACACTAACGTGGCTGGCCACCAAAATAATTAGGCAGAATGAAAGAAATTGGACCCAAGAAAGTATACAGCGTATGCATCCATTAATAGAACATTATAGAAAATGCGAGTTCATCTATGGTGACAGAAAGCAGATCAACTTTTGAGGGTGATAAGGATGTCATTCATTCATTATCTTGATTGAGGTGATCATTTCATGATGTATACATACGTCAACTTTTTTAAGTTCAACACTTAAATATATGCAGTTTATGCTCTATCAGTTATACCTCAATTAAACTACTATTAAAGTGTTTTTCAAAAAAGAAGGGCCAGGTGCAGTGGTTCATGCCTGTAATCCTAGCAATTTGAGAGACCCAGGTGAGAGGATTGCTTGAGCCCAGGAGTTTGAGACCAGCCTGGGCAACATGGCAATGCCCCATTTCTACAAAAAAGTATAAAAATTAGCAGGTGTGGAAGTGTTCCAGCTACTCAGGTGGCTGAGGTGGGAGGATCGATTGAGCCTGGAAGGTTGAGGCTGCAGTGATCCTTGATTATGCCACTGATCTCCAGCCTGGGCAACAGAAAAGACCCTGTCTCCAAACAAACAAATAAGAAGGATAGGCCTAGGCAAGGCTTCTAAACTAGTTTTTTGGTTATGGTCCTTTGAGAATCTGACAGAAACCACATAAAATTTGACACACACAAATCCCACACAATTCCTGGTGGGTTTGTGGACCCTCAGTGGCCTGCAGCGCCTACCCTCAGGCCCCAGGTTTCACACCCCTGGTCTACAGTAGCATCAGTGACCACACAGGTTCATATGCCGACTCTCCATCCAGCTAATAATGCTGGACTCCTTCCCCTCATTATAGCACACCCTCCCCTGGGCTAAGAACATGCATTTATGGCAAAGTTAATAGAGATTACAGGGAGACACTGCATCCTGAGACGGAGCCCCAGGTGGGCCCACCGTGGAGTCAAGCCCAAAGGGCTGGCCGTTGGTGCACTGCATTCTGACCCCTGAACTATGAGCCTGTTAAGTATCGTGAAAGCTCGGAGCAGCTGTCCTGGGGAAGCTGGAGGAAACTGGGAGGGGATCTGCTTTCTCTGTCTTCTTCTGCTGCTTTGGTCTCCCAGACATGGGCCTCCTTCACTGTGGGCAGAGGCTTGGCCATAACCTTTAGTGAGTCGGACCTGCCTGCTGGTGCTGACCTGGTGATGGGACTCTGGACACAGGCTGACCCCTGACTCTGTAAGAATGCCTGCTGGCCCTAGCCCCAGACTGAATTCTCACTCCCATCACCATTGAGCCTAACACTGACCCCACATTGACTCAAGTGCAGGATAAACCACAAGGGAGTCCAGACCAGGAACTGTGGGTGCTCAGAGCAGCTGAGCCTTCTTGGAGACATAGAACAAAAGCTGTATTTTCAGTCCTGTTGCCGAGAAGCCTGAGCCAGTGCAGGTGAATCGGTGCCGACAGTGATGATAACGAGAAGGAAAGGGTGAAAGGAACAGAAAGAGCCTCAGTGCGATTTGGCTGCGTGAATAAATCCATCCCACCCTTCAGAGTCTCAACCTATGATCCCTCGTCTAAACTGAATTTTGGCTCTGCAGACCCTGAAATAGGAAGACAGAGAAAAGACACAGCACAGCCCTCCCTGCCCTCCCCTGATTTTTCCCTGTTCCACCTGAATCCCTGGGGAGAAATGCTCAAACCTCCCAGCAGAGGGCACCCCATGCCTTCTAACTCAGAACAGTGGCGGTTTCCTGGGTGCCAGGACCAGAGTCCTTGACTCCCAGGTACCCAGCCGGGCTGACTGGCAGAAGGAGGGAGTTCCTGGCCAAACCGCTCCTAGGACTCCCCACCTGGTCCTTCCTGAGTTGCCACGTGTCTGTGCCTTGGGGTGGATGTTGTTGGTGCGTTCAGAGATGCCTTTGGCTGGGGCCATGCAGAGTGGATGCTCCTCACCGATCCCCTGAAAGTGCCCCAATGGTTAGTGGGCACCCACCCGCAAAAACACCAGAAGGCTCTGGCTGCCCCAGCCTGACCCATGCCTAAGGAACCAGCATCCTGTCCTCCAACAGGGTCTAATCTGAGAATCCTGGACCACATAAAAATGCACGCCTGTTGGGGTGAGGGACGGTGCCAGCCCAGTGGCTCTGTCCTAGCTGTCCATCACAGTCACCTGAAAAGCTCTGTAGACACACCAGTGCCTGGCTCACTTCCCACCAATCAGCAGAGACTCTAGGGGTAGGGCCCAGGAGAAGTATTTTTCTCAGGTCCCAGGGCTGAGAACCAAGCAACAGAGGCTCTGCTGGATGCCTTGGCCCTTGTTGCTCTAAGTGTGGCCGCAGGACACAGCATCCCCTAGGAGCTTGTTAGAAATGCAGGGTCTGCCGGCGCAATGGCTCATGCCTGTAATCCCAGAACTTTGGGAGGTTGAGGCAGGCAGATCACCTGAGTTTGGGAGTTTGAGACCAGCCTGACCAACATGGAGAAACCCTGTCTCTACTAAAAATACAAAATCAGCCAGGTGTAGTGGCGGGTGCCTGTAATCCCAGCTACTCAGGAGGCTGAGGCAGGAGAATTGCTTGAACCTGGGAGGCAGAGGTTGCAATGAGCCAAGATCGTGTCATTGCACTCCAGCCTGAGCAACCAGAGTGAAACTCTGTCTCAAAAAAAAAAAAAAAGAGGAAAAAAGAAATGCAGGGTCTTGGGCCCCTCATCAGGCCTCCTGACGAAGGAACTGCAGTTTCATAAGATCCCCAGGTAATTCACAGAACATCAAAGTTTGGGAAGTGCTGACTCCTGACACCAAGAGTTGATTTTGTGGTTGGGCTGTGGGGGGCAGACCAAAAATAGTTGCCACGTGGCATGCAAACACATGTCAGCAAACAGAGAGAGCTGTAGGACGTTGAAAATGGGAGCCCTCTGAGTGCTGGTGTATTCGGAAGGCTTCTCAGTGGAGTTGGAATTTCAGCAGCCTCGGAAGTCAGGTCAGTGAAGAGGGTGAGGAGGTCTTTCAGGAGGGGTCATGGCTCAGTGAGGACCCAGGAGAGGAAGACACACGGTGAGAAGTCAGTCTGGGGGAGGAGGACCTTCTTAGAGGGTAGGCAGAAGTCCACCTGGACAGGGAGCTTGGAGCCAGCCAAGGGGAGCCATGAATGTTGGGCAGAGGAGTTAGAGTCTTTCCTCTAGGCAAAAGGGAGCCATTGAAGATTCTTGAGCAGCAAAATATCCTGTAAATAAGAACTTTGAAAAATGTACCAGGAAACAAATGGGGGAGAGATGGAACAGAATTGCCTGCTTTCCCCATAACCCCAGACAGGGTGATTAATAAAGAAAACAATAACAAGAAAAGGAATGGCTACATTTTTCTGGTGCTTACTATATTCCCAGCAGGATTCCATGTGCTTGTTTTGGTTACAAATAGAGTCGATGTTCCGCTGGTGACACCGGCAAGCTCCTGGGTGGCATCTTAACTGAGGGATCAGAGTCTCCAAAGCCCCTCTTGTGAAGCATTTTGAATGTCATCCCTGGTTAAATCTAGGCCTCTGTCCAACAGATCACGTGCAAGCCCCAGCACTCAAATAGCACAGCCACAAGGAGCCTTGATTTCTCCCGTGTTAAATGGAGTTAGCAGTAACTGCACCCCACGGAGTTTCCATGAAGATTAAAGAAGGTCATGTATGTAGGATGCTTAGCAAAATATCTAACACAACGTGGGTGGATAAATGGAGCTATTGTCACTTGGCAGAGCCTTGTGTGAGGGGGTGATGCTGGAGACTGGAGGCTGAGTGTCTCATCCATGCCCACTTCAGACTTCCTGACTGCCTGCTTGCCCAGCAGGCTGTGGGTAAG